ATAATTGATAAAAAAAAGTTTAGTAACTTATACAACTATATAAATATAATATCTAATATCAATTCTTTAATATCTGATATCAGTAGCTCATAACTTATACTAGCTATTAAATGGTTAATATTAATATTTTAGATTATAATTTTATAACTGCAATAACTTATTTAAAGAATTTATAACATTTATAATAGCAATATTGTTGAAATAATGATGATAGCAATGCAAAAAGAACAAACATTGAGAGTAAAATTAACAAGAAAAACTCACGCATATATAACGTGGTTCACCAACAACCCACAAGCAAATAAGGTTAATAATTTTAAAGATTTTTCATTTGGTACCATTGTATTTTGGGCTTTTTCATTTGGTACCCAATTTTTAGTTTTATTCTAATGGTACAACTATACTTTCAATCTATTCTCTATTGTAGCATTCTGTCAAATATAATATGAAATCTTCGAATTGGGTGTCAAAAATATTAATCGGTTAAGGTTTTAATCGGATGTTTTAGCCCTTAGTGGCCTTAAGGTTCAAGTTTAAGGTTGAAATTAGCAAAAAAAAAAAAAAAAAAAAAAAAAACCTGCTTACAATTGTCTCGATTTATGAGCAAAAAAAAATGTCTCGATTTGTATATTTCGACTTTTTTCGTGCAAAAAAAATTGTTCGGCTAAAGTTTTGGGGTCATTATGTCCTAAAAGGATCAAAATTTGCAGTTAAAATTAGAAGATAAGGACTACAATCGCACAAAATTCATGTTTTATTTAACGGGATGCTATATTAAAGAATAAATCAAAATAACAATGGTATAATGTGGAATAAAAATAAAAATTAGGTACCAAATGGAAAAACCAAAACTACAATGGTACCAAATGAAAAATCCCATAATTTTTGTAACACCCCAATAATTCTCTCTTTAAAAACCTGTAAATACCTTTAACAATTTGCAAGAGAATTACTGACGTGTTACTGCCACGTGTTCAAACGTTAAGGCTAGTTCAGAGTTTAGCAGCGGAAAAACTAACTCAGTTATCAATAAGTTTCAAAACCAAATTTAGTCTTACAAGTTGGAACCATTAAGACCCTTATTCAAAATTCAATAAAAGTAGTAAATAAATCAACTAGTAAATTAAATCCAAACTTATGAAATAAAATAAACTGTGGAAATATCCAACACTCCACTCAAAATCCCACCACCTTGATGCAAGTTCTAATTGTGTAAAAACCTGTGATTAGTCTGCTTCCCAATATTACAAGTGTAAAAATTGGATCATTACAGGGTCATTGAAGGGCGAAGGCCATGACCAAGAAAAAGACATACAAAAGCACGCAATCAACAACGCTGAGTACATACAAGCTACGTAATATAACAAAGAATCCCTAACATGTTACTAAAAAATCAATCAGCACACACAATCTAATTATTCACTCAAACACACACGCCTTAACTGTTAACATTACTAAGACTTCACTAATTACTAACAATAATTCATTTCATTCATTGGTTGGATTAAGCAATAGACCAGGTTGTCTCCCCATGCTCCAATTCGGAACATCAATAAAAGAAAAACCCTATGCCTCCTTTCGGAAACATTAATAAACATCCAATGGCACCCAATCATACATCAATCATTCAAACAATTCAAATTTCTAATTCAATTCTTGATTTATTAGTGACAAACAATATTTATTATTAAATCCTTTAACTATCTCGGTGTATAAACACCTTAAGTGCATAGGGCACCTCAATCCTCAACCTCGTCTTATAAGACTTTAAATCTCCCTTTACTCATTCCATTTCATTAATTATGAACAAGTAATGAAATAATTCATTCCATATATTCATGTACCTTTGTCTCTAATACCATCTTTAGGGGTGTCCGTTCGGTTTTCGGTTTGGATTTAGTCCAAATCCGATCCAATCCGAAATATAGTTCAGTTTTCAATTTTCCAATTCGATCCGATCCGAATTTCTCTCTTGATCCAATCCGATCCAATCTGAATTAAAATTCGATTATTTGGATCCGATCCGAAAATCCAAATTATAATACATTATTTTTTTAGCGCCTAATACAATTATAAAAATAAAGCTTTACTATAAATAAAAGTCTTCAAAATCATAATTAAAATACATAGTTCAACGTCAAGTCATTAATTAATTAATACAAAGTCTCTCTAATTTATTTTATGTAGTATTAAGTATTTGAGCTAAACTTCAAAATATACAGAAATCCATATTTATACAAGCTTAATTTTACAATTCGGTTTTCGGTTTGGATTGGATCCAATTAGGGTCAATGCGATCCAATCCGAAAATCCGAATTTCCAAAAAATCTCAATCCGATCCGATTTAAAGTTCGGATCCGATTCGAATTGATAATTCGGTTTGGATTGGATTGGATTTCGGTTTTTATCCGAATTATGGACACCCCTAACCATCTTGCAAGTTATTGCATAAATAACACTTAAAAGAAAAATCATTACGCATTTCTCATACATGAATCAAACCAATCATCACATTAATCATCAATCAAACTCACTACCAAACAATTTCATCCAATCTACAAGTTTCCTAACATGATTCTAAATTTTCCAAGTCCTTAAACATGCTCCTAAAATCAAGGTTTTCATATCTTTGTACGTACCTTGAGTAAACGAGTTGGTTGGCCACTCTAGGAACTAGAAATCGCCTTCTACAAAGTCCTCTCCTAAACCAAACAATAATAATTCAATCAATACCCAAGCAATATAATTTATAGAAATACTAACTTACTTTAAAATCCCTTAAACCATTGAAATAATGCTTTTAAATTACTCACAATAGTCAAAGTTAATAATTCAATAGTTCAACTATAAGTTTATATGTTAAAATCATGAAAGTATAGCTTATAACATATAACATATAATTCCAGCAACTTTAAAGTAAGGATTATAATCTGGAAATTTAGTTTAAGAATATAAAACAACCTCATAAACATCTCTACTTGAAATAATCATTATATAGTAGGTTAGTATGTTAAAAACCTAAAAATCCATCATAAAACCATGATTTAAAACCTTTTAAACCAAGATTAAAAATCTGAAAATTTAATTTAAGAGTAGAATGTATGAATACAACAATCTAAACTTGAAATATATAATTAGAATTCAATTAGTTTCATAAAAACTCAATTTAACCTTCAAATTCAATTAAACAACACTTTAAGACCTTCCTTTTTGCTAGAATTAAAAGCTTATATATTATTCTTAAAATTTCCTACATAAAAACATTAAGATACATACTTATTCATAAAATTATAGCAAGTTAGAGCTTTATAAAAATCTGAAAATTTATTTTAAACATTAAACCTTCGATAAAAATCAAAAACTGCCCGAAAACCATATTTATAGGCTGAATTTGGCCACGAGAGGGTGGTGCACATTACCAAAGGTAGTGAATTTTGATTAAAACGTCATTTACACACGAAAAACACTATTGTTTTGTAAAAATCGGACGAGTTAGTATCTAAACGTGATTAAAAACAAATTAAGAATGGAGATCATAAGTTGATTATGGAAAACTGAAAATTTGTTTTTATGCTTAATTAATCATTAGAAATTCAATAGGAACAAAAGCCCCAAATTAATTGATCATTAGAACCCTAAAATCCCAATTTAACTAAATTAAAACCCTAGGTTTAAAATTACAAAATCTGAAAATTAAAACAACAATTATAATCTGAAATTATTAGTTTAAAACATCAAAACGTGATTTTGATACTAAATAAACTAATTTCGAGCAATAAAAACCAAAACCCAAAAATTAATTGCATAAGCTTTATGAAAATAATAAGAAATAAAGGAGGAAGAAAATAAGACTAACCTTTTTGTGTGGGGGAAAATTTGGGGATTCATGGGGTATTTATAGGAGAGAATTGTAGGGTAGAATTGGGTCTCATGAAAATAATGGGCCAATTAAATAAAAAAATGGGTTAGGCTTTGTTTTTATAATAATGGATTGTATGATATAGGTTCATAAAATAATTTAGCCTAAAATAATTTTTGACCTAAATTAATAATTTGAAAATTAAATTCTGGAAAAATACAAATAAATATTATAAATAAAATATTTAAAAATACGGGAAATTACAATTTTATTGATCTTGAGAAAAACCAGATTAAAAATTCATAACAGATTAAGACCAGTCACTGGTAATAGGTTGATTGTCTCTCGGATTTCTAATAATGTTACCTTTCTCAAAACTCACATATGAGGAATACACATGAGACTCTTAGATTTTTGAATGGTTGGATCCCTGAACCGTACTACATAAAACACTAGGTAATATATATAGTACTTCGGTATACGATCACAAAAAAAACGCGAAAAACACGCTGACCACCTTAGTGCTAAATGACGTGCTCGACTTTGAGAGGTGCGCGCAACCTGTAAGGCACAACTTCCAAAATTGTTTCACTCTTCTGCACGATGGAGCTCTCACTCGTTGTCGAGCGAGCTCTAGCTCGGCCTCGCCGCAATCTTGTCTTTAGTGAGCTCTACTCACCTAAGCTAGGAGCTATAGCTTCAAATTTGTCGCAACCTTCAACTTGCTTGCGACGTACTAAGCTACTTCGCGAGTAATAGCTCACTACTCCAATACTTAAAATCAGATTCAAGGCATATTTCTTTCAAATGTTAAGCTAATAATTACATTTCCACAAAAAAAAAAAAAAAAAAGCTACGGTACTCGATCTCATCTTGTCCAAGTCCTGGAACGATTCGAAAATGATTCGACCCAAATTTGACTTGACCCAAACTTGAACTGAAATTAATCCGATCCGAAATGACCCGACCTATAATGACTCAACCTGAACATGACTTGACCCAAACTCAACCCGAAGTATAGACTAGTAAATACCCGACTCTACCTGATTATCCGTTGAGCCAAAACCCAAAATAACCCAATCCATACCCGACCCGAGCTTGGCCTGACCCAAACGAACCGATTGCCAAATGTATTCATTGGTGAGAGAATCGCAATTGGCAAAATTCCAAATAGAAAAAAACTACTCTACAAGAAAATAAACAAATTTGCAATTATCAATCATCGGATCATCACAGATTCGCAGCTGAGGACATACTAGTCACTAGTAGCATCCCACTTCAAATTAAACACCATTTTGCTACCTTCAGATCATTACGATTTTTTTGGGGGGGACAATTTTGGGGTTAGGTGCAAATAGCTCATACGAAGTATTTAATTCATTTTTAGAAAACTTGATTAAATTTGGCTTTGTTCTTAATTTATAAGATTCCTCTAAAAATTTCATATTTTACCCTCATATACATTCTACCCGTTAACCATTTTCAGATCTTCAGGTCAGTCTCCTGCTAAATTTTTTTTTTATTCAAATTTCTTTATTTTTGCGCTTACTCCTGTTTTTCAAATTGTGATTAACTTCAATTTTTTTTTTTTTGGAAATTTATGTTATTTTCCTGTAAGTAAGATGAATTTGGAGATACCCATTTGATCAAACTTAAATTTTCCAAGAGTATATTCTTAATTTTCTTTTTTTTTTAATAATAAAATATTTGAATATACATAGTAAATGGTTTTACAATTTGATTGCTGATAGAGAGATTTGGTTAATTATGTTATTATGAGAAGAATATTGTAGATTTTATTGAGAAATTAGTGTTTTGGGAAATGTTGATAATGCAAAAAAAGAATTGCTCTTGGTCACTTATTGCTGTTGTTGGGTTAGTGGTATTGTTAGTCTTTCTAGTTCAATTCTTTTGTTTACCTTATAAACCTACACTAGATTATTTTAGTATAAAACAAGCTCAAACTACATGTATTTCATCAAATATATCAACCAAAAAAGACACTCAGCATAATGCTGGAGCCTTCCTATCGGGGCTCGACTTGGCCTGTCGATTTCCGGCTGATTTGCATAAGGCAGTTGTTTACCGTGGCGCTCCTTGGAAGGCCGAGGTTGGGCAGTGGCTTTCGGTTTGTGATTCGGTTGTTAAGGAAATAAATGTCACTGAGGTATTATTCTTTACAATAGTACACTTCTTGATTTGGAAGATTTAGTCAGTTAAAAGTATTGTTGACTATTGTATATTGTCATGGTATTAATTTTCAATGCAAGTGTATCATGTTTCGTTTCCGGTCCAATTCATATCTGTATGCAAGATATTTGGTGTGAGATAGTGTATGATAGTTGTGCTAAGTGGGTGCTATTTTGACTAATCTTATTTGCAGATTATTGGTGGGAAGGTCTGCAAAAGCGATTGCAGCGGTCAAGGGGTTTGCAATCATGAACTTGGACTGTGTCGATGTTTTCATGGATACAGTGGTTAGTGATTTTATTTCCTAAAAGGTCACAATGTGCACTTTGTACCATTCTAGGATTTGTTGATTGACTGCATCTTAATGAAATTTACTTAAGCTAGCATAAAATCTCAATGTGGTCAGTATATATAATTTCAGGTGATTTTTGCAGCAAAATTTATTTGGGATATTCTCAATGGTAACGCCCTACAATTGCTACGCACCAACGGTAACCCCCCTTTTTTTGGATTATATGAAATGACCTGAGTTATCTTTTTTCTCCTAATGATGACATTAATGATGGTGTTTTAACATAAAATTAAACCATGGTTAGCCAAAATAGCAAAATGACAAAAATGCCCCCTTTTTATTTTACAGATTTTATTTATTAAAAAAAAACCCAATATTCCAACCACCCTTTCCCCACCCCCTAACCTTGCCGGAACTCTAACCCCAACCCTCAATCTCGCCGGAAAATGGCCGGCCAACCCCCCTTAACCACCGAAAATAGCCGGTCGTCCTCTACCACCCCTTTTCGACCCCCGAAACCACCTATCCGGCCCTCCCCAACCCCCAAAACCACCAACACAACCTATCTAACCCCAGCCCTCTCGTTTCCTCCGCCAACAATTCTCCGGCGTTCATCACACACCACCGCATTCTCAACTCCGACCTCATCTTCAACCTCCAGAGACCCAATCCATGCTTGCGATGACGTCGATTTCGAGGTTCACCTCGCTAGATTTCGCCTCCTTCACGGAGGTTTAATTTCCGGCAATATGGTGACGACGATTTCAAAATGGAGAGCTGGCTGGGTGGTTTTGGGGAGGGCTTGGTGGCCACATCACACCACAACGCAACAACCTACGGTACCAGGGAGGGCCGATTGGGTGTTTTCGGGAGTAGGGAAGGGGTTTCAAGGGAGTTCCGGGAGTGGAGGTTGGGGCTTTTAACGGCGGAGAAGAACCGGAAAAGGAAGGGTTGGGTTAGGGAAGGAGGGCGGCGATTGGGGTGGGTTACAGTACCAGCGCGGGGGGAGGGGGAATTTGGCGCAGCACCTGGAGTGGGGGAACGGATGGCCGCCGTAAAGGTGGCCGGATGGTTTGGCAACTGTAAAGGGGTGGGGCTGGGTGAGAATTTTTTGAAATTTTGTTTTTGTTTTTTGTTTTAATTTTTAACCAATGATCTTGCAACAAGTGTCATTTTTTTATAATTATTAATTATTAAAAAAAAACTAACCATAGTTAATTTTAATTGACTATTTTATGTTAAAACACCATCATTAATGTCATATTTAGGAGAAAAAAGAAAAGTAGTGTCATTTTGTATAATCCAAAAAAAAGAGGGTTACCATTGGTGCGTAGCAATAATAGGGGGTTACCATTGAGAATATCCCAATTTATTTATACGTACCAATAATGATTGTCTTTTCATGGCACAGGTGAACAATGTTCAGAGACACTGTATCTGGCTTGCAACTATCCAGTAACTCCTGATCTACCTTATGGTCGATGGGTCGTCTCTATATGCCCGAGTAAATGTGATACAACAAGAGCTATGTGCTTTTGTGGAGAAGGTACAAAGTATCCATATCGTCCTGTGGCTGAGCATTGTGGATTTAAGATCAAGTAAGCAAACATAAACAAACTATATATGATGTGTTACTTATCCAGTCCGAGAAAATGGTTTAAGTCATATCATTTCATCTTTTTAGTGCAAATGCTACACCTCCATCAACTGACTGGGGAAAACCTGATTTGGATGTATTCACAACAAATAGTAGCGTGGCAGGGTGGTGTAATGTGGACCCAGAAGATGCATATGCTGGAAAGGCAAAATTTAAAGAGGAATGTCATTGTAAATATGATGGTCGCATTGGGCAATTTTGTGAATATCCAGTTATATCCACCTGCATTAATCAGTGTTCCAGCCATGGCTATTGTCGTGGTGGATTTTGTCAGGTATCTTGAATTCATTGTCTAATTAAAACAGTCCTTGATTTGTAAATGTGTCCATAATTGACAATTGCCTATTTTGAATCCTTGTTGCCACTCCAATACTGGGGAAGGCTGTATGTTAGTGATATAAACAAGCAAAGGACTGAAAGAAATATTCTTACTTATTGAAGAATAAGACTGTAGAAATCTTTGACTGAAATACTGTTAGAGAGTGAACTAGAAATCAGGAATCCAGTGGCAGCTTAGCAGTTCATCTAAGAAAATTCATATATGAAGGAGACTATTCCCTATTGAAGATCTTAGGTTTGCCTCTGTAAGCCACTGGAGTGGCCAAAGAATATAATGATTTCCTATTTTAAGGGTTTCTTGCTGCTTCCTCAAAACCGCACACCTGTGAATTCTCTAATATCAATTTTGTTGTTTATCTTTCCTTCTGAGTTCCTCTGAATAAGCAGTACCTACTGCAGGTCTGCAGTGTAAAATTGCTGTACTGGCTTCCTGAATATAGCTGGTTCACTGTTTATGAGTCCTTATAGAAAGTAGCTACATGCTTCATAAGTTCATAGTGCTTCTTGACTTGGTAACTTCTAAAATCTGGCTTTGTTATCAGTGTCATGAAGGCTGGTACGGAGCTGATTGTAGTATCCCTTCAGTTTTCTCATCCTTAAGAGAGTGGCCTCAGTGGCTACATCCATCTAAGATTGATATGCCTAGCTATGCACATGCTGTAGAAAGTATGAAGGGTCTTGGCGCTTCAGTTACAAAGAAAAGGCCCCTGATATATGTTTATGATTTGCCCCCAGAATTCAATAGTCTTCTCCTTGAGGTGGGTGAGGTCAGTGTTTTGTGCTATACCTTGTTGACGAAAACTTTCTTAAGCTTTATGCTGTTTACAGGGACGCCATTTCAAGTTTGAGTGTGTAAACAGACTCTATGGTGAAGGGAATGCTACTGTGTGGACAGAACAGCTTTATGGTGCACAGGTATTTTGTTTTACTCTTCCATACATTATTTTGATGATTATAGATGCTATATATTAATATATACAATTTTTCCCTGCAGATGGCAATCTATGAAAGCTTTTTAGCTAGTCCGTATAGAACTTTAAATGGTGAAGAAGCAGATTTTTTCTATGTGCCGATTCTTGATTCATGTATCATTACTCGTTCGGATGACGCTCCCCACATTAATTTGCAGGTATGTTAACTACAGTGATTGTGACTCTTCCTTAATGTCTATTTATTCACATGTGAACTTTGGATCTGTTTTATCTGTTAGATTATTGCCTTTGCTTGCCTTTTAGCAAGTATTAGCCTGTTACTGTTGTCTTCCAATGTTTTTGTGTTTGAGCATTGAGCATTGAGCCAGAATTTCTCTCGACAACCTTCAAAATCTGGTGAGATTCATCTGATTAATAAGTCAGAGTAGTTATGATGCAGGCAGCCTGATGACTCTGATCTCTAGGAAGAACTTGCACACACAAAAAGAAGTCTCTCAATGATTCTTTTGCATATTGAGTCACGTGTTTTATCTTATCAAACCATGCTGATGTACTTTGATCTAAACTGTACTGTTATTACTTAAGTACAGAATATTATTTTCTGCATTCGATACTTAAGTACAGAATATCCTTTTCTGCATTCCATCTCTACATGCTAAACCATACTTATTATGGTGCATCTTGGCCCATTTTTCAGTAAATTATTTCATTTTCCGTGGATTCTGGAAAGTTTTTATTGTTTGTAAAGGTTATCTATCTGTCTTGGAATGTCAAACCAAAAAGGCTCCCCTGTTGGATTAGCTGTATACAGAGATGCACTACTTAATTCTTATTCAAAATCTTCTTAATTTCTCAGGTTCTGTAAATGTTGGCAGAATTTTAGGTTAGTTTTATGATTGTTTAATCAACGCATGGGTTACCACTAAATAACATTAGTTCTTCATGTTCTGCTTTGTCTAGTTGTGATGATCTTGGCCCTCACTTTTTGCAACTTCTAGATGCAAGACATTTCCTGGTGGCTTCTTAGGGTAATATATGGATATGAGATGGAAGTTATCCATTTTTGTACCAGAGGTATGCCAATATTCCACCTTGTTGACCTCTGATTATCATTCCACTTTAGACATGACTCACCGCAAGTTTCAAAAATAGTTTTATTTTGGATACTTTTATTAAGTCTCCAATAGATTAATGATGTGTCTCTTTAAGTTCTGATTGCAAAATATCAAATTCAGCTCATTGTTTTGACTTATTCTCTCTACAATAAAGCGCGGAACTTAATTTTCATTTTGTCTACCTCTGGTTAGGAAATTCTTTTGTACCTTGTTGGTGTTTCCACTTTGGTATCTCAAGTTTCTGTGGCTAATCTTTCTTGCTATCACCATTGTCAACCTTCTTCTTCTGTGCGTCCTTCTGTGTCTCAAGTTTTTAAAATTCGACTGTACCATTTTTTTAAAATCCTATTTAAGGTTATGTGTTATATCTTATGTTTAGATTTTTGAGGGACATGGCAAACACTAAATTATGTCATTGAATGACACGAGGAATTTGCTTCTTCTGTATCAATTAAAAAAAAAATTTGAGTGTTTTTTATTGTGTTCTTCATATGTGGATCTAGAATGCCAGAATGAGTATAATTGCATTTTATGGCGACTCTTTGACTTGCGGTATTATCTCATCTTATTTAGCAGGTATTTTCAATATTTTCCTATTTAAAAAATTAGCAGTTTGGAAAAGCTTAGGAAATTCACAAGATTTGGAATTTAGCTGATTTCTAAATTTCCTTAGTTTTTTTTGTTGGTAGGATTTTAAAATCTTTAGACATTTGGGATTTCTTGCCTTATATTAAATTTTTTCAAAAGTGGTCATTTTTTTTTTCAATTGTAAGAAATTTTCAGGTTTTTATTCCAACTACTTTGAAAACCAAAATATTTTTGGAACTTCAGAGTTATTTGATAAATTCTGCAATTGAAGGGATTAATGATAATTGATTACTAGGTTTGGCAGGAGTATAAGTTGAGAAAAACATTTTTTTTCACATTATTCATCTAACTGGGCTACTAGAGAGATAAGGTTATCAAAACTGTGATTCTATTTTGAATCAGAAAAGGATTTCTAGAATCGAACACGCATAACCAAGACGTCATACTCAAATTTCATTGAATGTGTTTATATTATAATTTAAAAACCTAATTATTGGTAGAAAATAGTTGTTTACCCACTAAGCAGCCAATAATTGACAATATATATTTATCTATAACTTTAGGCATTTTTAAAGTTAAGAGGTTTTTGCTAGTTAACAGAAATATGATCGTATGGCCATACATGAGTAGTAAAATCGTTAGATTCTAAGATTTGAATTGCGATTTAAATAATTATGAAGCTACTATCTTTTAGGTTAGCCAAGTGTTAAGGATTGTGAAACTTGAATTTACTGAAGTGTAAATAACAAGCATATAGGTGACTTCTGCCAATCCTGGTGCTCTGCATATCAACTTTCTATCCATGCGTTTTGCCTGTTGATATTATTTCTTGTTCACTTTTGATCATTTGACCTTTGTACTCAAAAGCTTTATGTTACCAGTGTTCAATGAACTAATGAAGTGGAATTTATGGACGTGACTAGAATGCTCCTGCAATTTTTCACTTTCAAAAAACCATTGTGGTTTTTTGCTCTTTTATCCATATTTTCTTTAACATTTGTACGTTTTTTCTCAGGATTATAGGGGCATTAGGAGCTCCTTCACTTTGGATTTCTATAAAAGGGCATATGATCATATCGTACACAATTTTCCTTATTGGGAACGTTCATCTGGAAAAGATCATATTTGGGTATGGTGCACATAAGAGCTTCTACTTTTATATTTGAAAAAAATGCGAGGTACTAGATTTTGAACTCTTATTGGTGTGCTTATGTTAACGATGGCTGATTATGATGTCTTTTATATATCTGATGCCAGAGTTTCTCATGGGATGAAGGTGCTTGCTATGCCCCCAAGGAGATATGGAACAGCATGATGTTGGTTCACTGGGGGAACACTAATTCGAAGCATAATCATTCAACCACTGCCTACTGGGCTGACAACTGGGATGACATTTCCATTGATAGAAGAGGCAACCATCCCTGTTTTGACCCAAGCAAAGATCTTGTTCTTCCTGCTTGGAAACGGCCTGATGGGAACTCCTTTAAAGCCAAACTTTGGGCAAGGTGCACTTCTTAGTAGAATTGAATCATGCTATGCTCTTTATGCTTGTTTAATTTTTATTTGTTAGTACCATGCTAAAGCAAATCTCAATAATGTTTTTTCTTGTTTTAATACATGTGCATTATTAATATGTTGATTCATGAGCGCTTTCTGCTGCAGGCCTCGTGCCCAGAGGATGACACTTTTTTACTTTAATGGGAATCTGGGGTCTGCCTATGAAAATGGCAGACCGGAAGCTACGTAAGCTCTCTATACCGACCAACTTTGTTATCCAAAAGGCTGTATTTAGCAGTTATTCACTTCTTTTTGGTAACTATTCAATAATTTCCAATCAATCAGGTTGCTGAAATAGTGATTTTTTTTTTTTTTTTTTTTGTAAAATTCAGATATAGCATGGGTATTAGACAAAAGCTCGCAAAAGAATTTGGTTCAATTGTTGATAAAGATGGGAAGCTAGGTAAACAGCACCAGAATGATGTACTTGTGACACCTTTACGCTCTGAAAAATATCATGAAGAATTGGCTAGTTCTGTTTTCTGTGGGGTCTTTCCTGGAGATGGTTGGAGTGGTAGAATGGAAGATAGCATTCTCCAAGGTTGCATTCCTGTGATAATTCAGGTAGTTTTGGGTTCTTGTCATCTTACGGTAATCTTGTTTGATTTTCTAATGGATTACAATTGATAGACGTGTCGCGTATCTAGCAAAAATAACCTAATTATTCCTCCTACTATGTAGACAGGTAAATAAGAGTCGGATCCCAATAGACTAAGGATTAAATATTCAATTGACTCAAGCTAATACTAAGCAAGTAACCTTATCAATGTTAAGAATTCTATACTAAACAACGCAATTAATTTAAATATGAAGAAAATTCGATAATAAAAACATCTAAGGTCAAGGATCACCATGAATATAATCAATGCAATAGTAGTTCTATTACCATTACATAATTGAATTGACAAGAGGAAAATTAATCCCTAAATAGTACCAAAAATCTCTTCCGAGTTATCAATGGCCTCCCAAATTAACTATCAAGCCTACTTCCGTGGAATAGAGCGAACAAGGGAAATTAAACTCAATGTTTCGTATTTGACTTCCTAATTATTCATTCAACTACTTCTGCAAAGAACTTCAAACCCTTAATTGAAAATTTGAAATAACCAAGTCCTGCTAAAACCCAACTTCTGTTGTGAAAGAAACAAAGGGATGATAACAACGCTAATTTTTATGCTTCTCAGTCCGTGCCCTCTTCAAGAACTGGAACCAATAGCTTTCAGGATAAAACTTCCTCGGTGAGGCACAGGCATGCTCCATATGGCATGGACGTGTCATCCTCTGTGGCGCGCAATAGTACTTGTCAAGGCATGCCCATTCAAGCTTGAGGCATGTGTGTGCCACCTCTGGGCATGGGGCTTCAGTCGACACGTCCGTGCCTTCATTGGACTACTCAGCACGACACAGGCGTGCCGCAATTGAAATTGTTTTTAATATGTTAGTTAAAAAATTTAGTCAAAGTTAATATACGAATAGTGGGAAAAGTCAAAGTGTTGTCAATTATTCTAGAATGAAGGGAGTATGCTCTACTTGGCACTTGCACTTCCAATCATTTGAAACTTATTCAATTTACAAACTGGGCTATCTGAAACCCACTAACTCCAAATTGTATTGGTTCTTGATGGTTTAGGATGGCATCTTTCTTCCGTATGAGAACGTTCTCAACTATGAAAGTTTTGCTGTTCGGATTGCCGAGGATGATATTCCAAACTTGATAAAGATTCTCAGGGTAATTGTCTGTCCTGTCATTCCGTGTGTTTCTGTAAATATTTCTCAGTAATGCGTTATATTTAGTCTTGGTCTGACTTGTGGGCCTGTACTATTGTAGGGGTTTAATGAGACAGAGATAGAGTTTAAGCTGGCTAATGTACAGAGAATCTGGCAGCGGTTCTTGTATCGTGATTCTGCCTTGCTTGAGGCTGAGAGGCAGAAATCTGCCTTCGGTCGTGTTGATGATTGGGCTGCAGAGATGTTGCAATTTACTGAAGATGATGTCTTTGCCACACTTATACAGGTTTGATACGTTCTCTACTGTGTGTCTCACCATGTTGAATGATCGTCTCATCTACTTTCTCTTTTCATCCAAATCAATTGCATTAGATTCCAAACTGAGTACTAGGTTATTGGGTATTTTTTAATTAATTTTTTTAAATTTAGGCTTAATATTTTAGTTTGTTGAATGGAGGCTTTTGAAAATTTGAAAAGAAATGAGCTTAATTACAAAAATAGTTCATGAAACAATTGGATCCCTCTAAACATATTGCTTTAGATAGGGGTGAGCAGAGAACAACTCATAGGAAAGACAGCTTTAGGAGGTCTGGAGTTTGATTCTAGTTTAAGTAGTTTTTGCTAAAAACATCTTCGTATAATGATGCTCCAGTTGTACACTTGTATCCATTAGCAGAAAAGTCTAGAAACATTATTTCCAGTCAATTTTTTTTTTACTCTCTCCTCTCTTAATCTCACTGCCTCTATCTACCTTCTCTCTCATTCTCACAATGTTTTATTTTATTTTATTTTTTTACATTATTTATCTATTTATATTATTTTTTAAATTTTTTATAATGAAACCTCATTCTTTGTCTTAGACATTTGACATTTTGACAAGGTTATGTAATCCTTACCAGACACTTTGATTTTCACCTTGACACCTCAATTATCTTGATCCACGTTTATAGAAAAAAAATACTTTAAATTAGAGGGTTAACAAAGAGAGCCATTCAATATGTGCTTGAAAATGGACTTGAGGTAAAATTTAAAGCAGAAAATCTTACAATAAGTTACCAATAATCTAGATCTTGTGCATTTGTATCAAAAGTTTGAATGTTAATAGACATAAGACATTCGAAATTCCTTAGATCCAGGGATATGTTTCGTTAATACCTTTTTTACCATACAAGGAATGCGTCTACGTGTCTTTCAATTTGGAATTTGGTGTGTCTAACACTTGTATATGACACTCCATGGCTGAGTATCAAAGCAGTTCAGCAGAATAAGTTGCTTTATGAGTAGAGATTTATTTTAGACTGTATGATTTAAGGCAAATTTATAGGTTTGTAATGTATACACTGACCTTAGCTTTCTTATTTGTTCTACTTAGGTTTTGCATTACAAGCTTCACAATGACCCTTGGAGGAAACGAGTTCCTCAATCAAGGAGGGATTCTGGTCTGCCAAATGAATGCTTGATATATAGCTAGCTGAGGTCTACTTGAACTGGACCTGCATGCCATACTGAACGGTTAACAGCCGAAATTGCTGCATAATAAAAAATGAAAATTTAATGTGCAACCACTACTTGTTTGTTGCTTGGAATCTCCTACAACTTCGATGCAGCATGATATTGCTGAAGTTGAGATGAAAGCAAGACAAAATCAGAGCATGAGAAGGGGAAGGGGAAGATATATACACACAAAAACAGAGAAAGAGAGGAAGGGGAAATATATATACACTTTGTATAAGTAGCCGGAGCTGTAAAATATAGGGAGCACATCAGCACATGTGTACAGTTACTAGTTTTTATTGGTATCTCAAATTTTTGGTTGGCAATCCTACTCAGAATGTATTCATGTAAGGCATTGATCCTGGCAATAATTCACTTGAAATAGAGATTTTTGTGATTTTTGGAGCCTATTCGGAATTCAGTTATACAAAGGGCCTATTCGAGCGTTTGAGACTTTGAGGTAGAGGTTAGTGGTTTGCTAAAGTCAAACACTACTTCAAGTATTTTTGTAGTTTAATAAACTTGCCTCTTTCTTTCTTTCATTTTTTTTTTGGGTTTCTTTGTATTATTACATGACTAATGTAAGTTTTGGATATACTCAGTGTTTAGGTTTTGGTATACTTGGCCGATCGGCTCATTTCAATGCTTAGAATATCTAAACTTTTATGCATAAGTTGAGATCATGATCCCTTACATGTTTGACAGGATTACTAGACATCACATGAATGATACCCCTTTCGTTTCAGAATAATTGTTACGTTTGACTAAAATATTTTACTAACATAATAAAAACAAACTACATAATAAAAACAAACTTTATTATGAAATATTTTGTTAATACTATGCGGATATCACTACCTTTTCAAAAGTACGAGTAAACTCTTATGAATAGGGTGAGACGATTATGCCCCTAAAAATGTTTATTTACATATTTACTCCTTTTAAAAGTATAACCATACTTTTATGAATAGTGTTGAGACGATTATGTCCCTATTTAAAATGTTTATTTACATATTTGCACTCATTAATGTTAATTGTTTTTTTTTTTAACTTAAAAGAAAAGTGCGGATATTTATACTCTAAAGATATTTCTTTACATATTTTCGCTAATTAACGGTACTAACAATTAAAGGCTTCGTTGTTGTTGTTGTTGTAACGCTACTAAAAATTAAAGTTATAAAATTATGTCAACCCGAAAGAACTTTCCGAATGTGGCTAGCTATGACGGGCACATCATGCGCGTTATTAGCCTCCCCAGTTAAGACAAAATTTCAAAAATATTGAATTTTAAAGTTTTTTTTTATTATTAATATGAATCTTGCTAACAAACGCCCCCGGGCGTAAGATAGACCGTTAAAATAATTTCTAAAATGGTACTTGTATTAATTTGGGAATGTATGCCAACATCACGCGTCGATCGGTGTAATAATATTTATTTCATGTTAATATTTTTATTTTTAGTTATCTTATCTAACGCCTCAGGGTGTTCGTTAGCTTTTGCCTATTAATATTAGTTATATTTCGTATATAAATATGGTCGAATTATTGTATATGCATGTGTGCCAATTATTATGACACAGAGAGTGTGAGTGAGAAGATTGCAAGTAACTAAAAGAGTAGTGGCTTAGTACATAGGGGTGGATCTTGGTTATGGCGGGTAGGGTCTGACTCCCCTTGAGTTATTTTGAGTTGAGTTGTATTGTTTTAGTAATATGGTGTCTAATAAATAAATGCATTTAAAAATTGTAGCATAGTGGTTAAATGTTTATTTTAAACAAAAAATTAGAAGATCAAAGCTTAACTTTTTAGCTCAAGATCCATCACTTATAGTACAATGTTAATTTATGTTATTCTACTTTGAACTTTTTTTTTTTTTTTTTTTTTTAGGTTTTTAACAGACCACTAACTATTGTTTAAAACATCAATTTGTTCACCAGATTGTCCAAACCCTCGTTTGTCAACATTTCAAGTGAGTATTTTACTATTATTACGAAACGGAGGGGAGTAAACTATAAATACGGTCCCTAAACTTTGCCAAAAGTGATTTTGGTCCTTAAACTTTGAAATGGCTGAATTAGTCCCTCCACCACCACTTTTGGTGGTTAGTTTAGTGACTCATCAAAGTTTAGGGACTTGAGTGGCTTGGACCAAAGTTTAGGGACATAAAAGCATAGGTGGCAAAAGACATTATTATTTTATAAAATGATTTATTATATTTTCGAAAATCATTTTTAAAAATAATTTTGAAAAATCAGTTTTTAATTTAATAAATTAAGTAGTAAAATCAGAATATTAAAATAAATAACCAATCTAAGCTTAATTATCAAATAACGTTCCATATTAGACGCGTGGCAAAACTATTTACCAAACTAAGCCTGAGGGTAAAACACCATCTAGGGTAACGCTACCCTAGATGGTGTTTTACCCCTAACTGAAATGTAAAAAAAAAATAAAAAAATCCAAAGGGTAAAACGCCAACGTGGAGGGCGTTTTTGTCTTCTTCATAAAACTCCAACCACGCTGGTGTTTTTGCATAGGGGTAAAACGGCAACCACGCTGGAGTTTTTGCATCAAGTAAAAACTGCTACTTCACTTCAGTTTATTTCATTGTTCTTTAGTTAGGGGTAAAACGCCATCCAAATTGCTTCGTGAATACCCAACCCCTAACTAAAATGTACCTCACAAACCTTTTCGGTCTGTTACTAGTATGTTAGGTTTTTTCGGTCACGGAGCCGGAAAAACCGGTATTATTTGCCAAAGGGTAAAACGATTTCCAAATTGCTTCGTGAATACCCAACCCGATTTGAGTGCCTTAGCTTCATATTGAATTTGGGTCTAGTAGACGATGAGGGTATTTGCTCCGCCGATGAATCACCGGCCATTGATGGATCAATTCCAGCGACATTGTCGGAATCGCTTTAATCGATAAACCATGTTTCATCACCCCCAATACCAATATGTAAGGGCAGACGATGGGAGCCGTGGAAGGATGAATAACAAGATCAATCAAGAAAAAAATGCGAAGATAAAAAACGTTTAGAATAGAAATAATAACTTTTTGATTTTAATGTTTGACATAAAATATTATTTTTTTTGACGGGATATTTGATATACTTCGTATAATATAATTTTCTTAAATAAAAACTAATTTTGGAAATTAAGTTATGAAAAATAAAAAAAAATTGAAATTATGATAAATAATTTTTGAAGTCATTAAATTATTTTATAAAATAAGAAAAATGAATTTTTATTTTTTTATATTTAAGAATAAATCAAAATAAAATGCTTTACTCATTTTTTATTTATTTTTTAGTTGAATTTGATATGTTTTTTTTTTAAAGATCTCAATTAATTTCTTGCATTTTGATATAATGTTTCCTTTCAAAACAAAAATGTCTTTGCTAATTTTTAGTGAAACCACTACCTAATTAATCCTTAATATTAACATTGGACCAATCACATCATGAAATTCATTAAAATATGACCAAGTCCCTAAATTTTGGTCCAGTCAGCAACTATAATCCCTAAACTTTGGCCATGTCAACAATAAAATATGGAGAGATCCTTTAACTTTGAGGAGTCATTGTACTAGCCACCAGAATTGATGACTCATTGGTGGTGGAGAGACCAAATTTAGCCATTTGAAAGTTGAGTGACCAAAATCAAACTTATACCATTGGATTTTTTTACGAAAGTAAGCTTAATTGGTAAACAATTTACCAATCTAGACGCGTGGCCAAACTATTTACGAAACTGAGCTTCTGAGGTAAAAGCTGACTCGGTCAGCGTTTTACCTTTGTTATTATTTTTTTAAAAAAAATTTCGTATTTTGTGAAATACAAATTAAAAAAAATGGAAATACGGTAAAACGCTGACTCAGTGAGCGTTTTTTGTGTTGGCATAACAGAAAAAAACGCTGACTGGGGCAGCGTTTTATTCCTTAGTATAAAACGCTGCCTCAGTCAGCGTTTTATCTGCTGGTTGAAGCCAACAACAGCAGCCCCAGCAGCCCCCTTCCACATCCACCATCCTCCTCCACATCCACCAACACCACCACCCTCCTCCTCCACATGCACCACCACCACCACCCTCCTCCTCCACATGCACCACCACCACCACCCTCCTCCTCCACATCCACCACCTCCACTACCCTCCTCCTCCACATCCACCACCACCCTCCTCCTCCATATGCACCACCACCACCACCCTCCTCCTCCACATCCACCACCTCCACCACCCTCCTCCTCCACATCCACCACCACCACCACATCCACAATTTATTTTGAACGAAATGAGTCAAATATGCACAAATAAGGAATTTGAAATTCAAACAAGACATAAATTCATTCAAATAATTATTAAAATAATAATGTAATGTAAGTGTTATGTACAACAAACTAGAGAAGGTCATTACAGCAAATAAATCAGATAATTCTATCCTATTCTGACTCATCAATTTGGTGTAACGACTCTCTATCCTGTATGTCCACTCTCGGCCTGAGACGACGGCTGTAGTGACGGACCGTGGTAAATGGGTTCGGGCGTACTGGCGGAGTGAGCTGGCTAGACGATGGGTCATCAGGATGACGTAGGGGCGCGGAACTGCAAATGTCGTACTCCTCTGCGCCCGTGAATGACGCAGGATCACCCCCACAGCTACTCTGGCCAGCCTCGAACTGTGAGTGACTAGAGTGGCCGCCATGATCGTCCCGGGGGTGGACGAGATAGGCGTGACCATATCTCTGCAAGGTAGCCATGCCCATATCTCGCACCCGCTCGACCTGTGCTATGGGCGGCTCAGGTATGCATGGAAGGACGTCCGACAGTGCGTTAACCATCGCCGTCATATCCAACGCCCGCAGTAATTATGGCTGAGTTAGTTGAATGATATACAAATTAAAAATTGATAAAAATAAGTTAATCAAATATACTTACATATCCCCTGATCACGTCAAAGGATGGATGGTAATGTGCAGATGGCGGCGTGTAGCTGGGGTTGATGAAACGTCGTGTAATCCGCATGTACCACTCCATGTATGGATCGTATGGATCCATAACGCCGTGGATGGGGTCACGAGTGAAGACGAACTCTAACCGTCGATGCCACAAGTCAATGTACTGGGCATGCTCCGTCCGCCAGTTCCTGTCGCTCTTTCCCCGACGGTCAATGCAGTGCAGCCGGGCACTAGTGTCACACTGCTGGGGGACAGGTTGGCGTAGTCCAAACTGTCGCATGACTCGATCCGGTAGGTGACCCTCCACAACCTCAAAACAGATCAGGGGGACCCTAGAACGCCACTGCGCCTGATGATCTAGCAGATGTGGAGGCATGGCAGCAACTAAATCAGCTTAATACGGGTCCCATGTCATCTGCGATAACACATACAAAGTAATATAATAAACAGGTTAGTGAATATTAAATATGTTAAGAGTATACATAATAAATAACTGTTTACTAAATAAATTAAAGTTATCACTTGATACTCGGTGAGTTGATCAAGGGTGTCTCGGTAGTACGGAAGGCCCCTTGCCGCATGCGCATATGTCAGCTTGGGGACCGCCCATCTGCAACCGTACGCCTCGTCAGCGGAAGGCCGTGGTGGAGGAATGTACCTCTCATACTGCTGGTCCTGATCCTGCTGCCCCTGACGATGTATAGCAGGCCTACCTAGCCTGCCTACATGGATGTGCTCCCAAGACCAATACTGGACATCAAACACACAAAACTAGGTTAATTGTAAACTAAGTAAGAACTTTCCGAATTAAACTGTTAACAGATAGGTAGGTTACCTGAAGCAAAAATAACGGACCGCTGATCTCACGAGAACCCCGACGGGATGCTCTACACAGATGGCGATACAACATCGCCAGACAAGCACTGCCCCAGCTGTAGCCACGAATATGCTCCCAGTCGTGGTCTAACAGCTGCAGGTAAATGATCTGTAAATGGCTGCCACTCTTGCCACCGAACAACACACCCGAGATGATCAGAAAAAGGTACGCTCGAGCATGTCTCGCAACAGTGGCCTCATCAGCACCATCTGGCAACACACGAAAAGTGTCACGTATCCAGCCGGTCCTCAATCCGCCGCCCCTGATATCGTCCGGGCTTGGCTGAACCCCGAGAACCTGAGCTACATAACCGGGGGGATCGGCCAACGCAGATCCAGACACCGGACTCCCATGAATGGGAAGCCGTGTGAGTATCGCCACGTCTCGCAACGTCACGGTCGCCTCCCCAACAGGTAGATGGAAGGAGTGCGTCTCCTGTCTCCATCTCTCCACAAGCGCAGTAACAAGCGCTGGGTCGACCTCTCTGAACGCCATCCGATGTATACCCATGAAGCCAGCGTACTCCACGAAAGGCAGAATGCGGGGATCGATAACCCAATCGCCAAGGAATGCGACAGTGTAGTGCTTGCATGTCAGTATGCCCGCCGGATCAACCGACTGAGTCCAAATGTCAACGCTACGATGTGTGTCCTGTAGTGTAAGGACAGAAGGGTCGGTGGGTCCGGGTGTCCTATCTCGGGTGTCCATGGTATCTTTTCATAAACAGTTATAATCCAAAAATTAAAAAGTAACAATTACAGACAAGCGATAACAAAATACAGAATTTCAAATCTCATACTTCAATCTAAAAATCCAACTGTTACAATAATTTGAAATGAAGAAATACAATCACCGTACTATTCTACTACATCACTCTAGATAACAAAAAAAAAAAAAAACTTAGTGCCCGGTCGATCTAGATGGACACGATCTCTTATTGTGACCCTGCTGGTGACAGAGGCCGCATTTGCTCGCGGGACGGTTGGTCTCATCCATTTCATTGCGTATGCGCCTTGACTTAGGGCGACCTTGTCCTCGTACCATGCTGTTGTCGGGAATGAGTTTAGGCCCTCCATAATCTCTCCATGCCGTCTCACAAGGGATAGGCCAGAATTGGGGAGTGTATGTATTTGTGTAGGCCTCTGATTGCAGTACCCGGTCCACCCATGGCCGCTCTGATATCGAATACTTCGCACAAACTGCTAGAACATGAGAACATGGGAGGTGGAAGATCCGTGGTTTATTGCATGTACACATTCTTAACTGAAAGTTAACAGTATGTCTATGGCCTCCTTTTCTACCAATTCTATCTCCCCTCTTTGTTTCAACTTGATATATATGCAGTCGACGGTTATACGCTTCCACTTTGTGATATCTAGCCTTTGAAATGTTTTTCTCCATAATGGAAGTGAATTTGGGGGGGTATGCAAGTCCCTGTTCAGATCTAGCCTGAGATAATTCCCTTTTATCAGTGAAATACTTATTCACTCTGTGGAATGTTAATTCAACAAGGGACATGATAGGTAGAAATCGAGCACCCTTCAACACATTGTTAAATATTTCTGAGAAGTTCGTAGTACATATCCCATATCTGCGACCAGCATCGTGAAACAAAAACCATATATCTCTCATGTCGTTTCTTCGCACGTGAGTCTTCAAGTTAGAAGCCAAGTGCCGAACACAAAACCTGTGATAGGCTCGCGGCTCGGTGAATCCAACGTTAGGGTCATTCATTGCTGCAATGATCCCAGCATGTCGATCAGATATAACACAGAGGCCATCCCGTTGAGTGACATGAACCCGAATGCAACCGAGAAACCAAGACCAGCTGGAAGTGTTTTGCCCTTCGACTAACGCAAATGCAAGTGGAAATACTTGGAAGTTTGCATCCACACTTGCAGCAACCAACAATGTTCCTTTAAATTTCCCGTACAAATGCGTCCCATCGATACAGATGATAGACATACAATGTTTAAAACCTTCAACACAAGGGCCGAAGACCCAAAATACTCGTTCAAACACTTCCATGTTGCTGTAATAAACACCGTCTACCAGAACTTTGTGTTTCCATACAACAACGGTTCCCGGGTTTGACTGTTTGAGTGCTTCCATGAAGTGCGGAAGTCTGCCATAAGAACTCTCCCAATCTCCAAATACTTCAGCTATGACTTTCTCCCTAGCATACCATGCTCTTCGATAAGTAACGTCGAACTGAAAATGCTTGGATATGAGTTCCTGTATAAATTCAACTTTCAAGTATGAATCTTTCTGCACAAAAGACTTCACAAAATCGGAAATTATGGATGAATCCAAGTGTGCATGATCTGTAGATAACACTTCAGTGACACAGGTGTCCCGGTGCGGGCCTTTGTATGTGACTATGGTAAAGCCGTCTGAGTGCTCACTTTTTTTAGTGCCTCGTAGTGACCAACCACAATTCTTCTTGCACCGCAGATGAAGGACCTTCTCATTCGAGGTTACTGTGGTGTAGAATTGGTTCCTTTGTATAGAATACTTCTTCACCATTTCCTGAAGCAGTTTCTTGGATTCAAAGAACATACCCTTCTCAAACTCCCCCCCCCATCACAAATGTTGTATGACTACCTGATTCGGCCCAATATTAATCAACCTCATAATTCTCATTTACTTGACTTAACCAAGGAATAGGAGTTCTAACCATGGCCTCCCCACCTTCCATGTCTGCAGAATCAACATCCATGTTATCCAGTCCATGTTCCTCCTCTTCGCTCTCATCCTCATCATTTGTTTCCCGGAGCGCATCATACAGAGACAACTCGTTATTCACCATATGTTGTAGATATTCAAGATGATTCACCAATGGTTGAGACGGTGATGTATGATCATCATGCTGCGTAGGTGAATAACTTTGGAGTTGCATGGGAGAAGATATAATTGTGTTCGATGTCGAAGGCCCAGATTGGCCAAGCATTGTCGTAGATGGTCCACCATATACAGGTGAAGCTATATGTGAACTCAACGGCATCTGGAACCGATCGTCATGAAGCAGTCTGCTGAAGGACCCCATCCCATATTCAGTTGATGGAATGTCTTGTGAGGGCATTCGGAAGGACTCTGTGTATCCGGAAAAATAGGTAGCTTGTTGATCTGGTTGAGTACTTTGTTGCGTACACATAGACACTATTTCTACATATATCTCATGTGGATAACCCCTCATTAAAACAGCGCTCCTCAAAGCTTTCAAATGTCTATCGTTAGAACAAGGTAACACTTGAACCGCATTATTAGTCTCAAACCTCATTTGAACATTCATTGGGTTTAAGCCAATAATGCTATGAACCTCGTTCATCAGATCGTTGAAAGTCATGTCCGGTCCAAGTGGCAATGGTTCCATATTTCCACCACTATACTGGACATTCGGTCCATCAGACACAAATTCACCCCCCATCGGCATAACAAAGCTGCGTTTTGTGCAGCCATATTCTATACAACAACCAAAAACACATCTTAATTGCATGCAATCTCCACCAATTCGCACAATAACAACCAAGATATTCACACTATAAACATAATTAACCATCATTGTTCCAATTCACATAACAACCAAAACAAAGTACACAACGAACATATTCACACTATAACAACCAACATGTTCTACATAACATAATTTTCGTAATTAAACAACAATGTAGGCTACTTTATCAAATTAAAACAACAATTTCATCAACATTATCAACAATTTCATCAACATTTTCAACAATTTTATCAAACATTTCCACAATTTCATCATAAACTTTCTTACTAAACTAACATCAATTTAGGGCTTTTATACTAGACAATTATCAAATTACAACAAACTAACTTAGAATTATCAACATAATTGTCAATTTACATCAAACTAACTTAGAATAATCAACAACATTATCAAATTAAAACAATGTAGTATATAATTATCAAACTAACCTAGGTTTTTAAATTTTAAAAACAAATAAGTGAGAAGTACTAACAACGTGATTATAAAGAAGAGGAGAGGCGCGGCGGCAGCATGCAGTAGGCGGCGGCGACGGCGGCAGGCTGGCGTGAGGAAGAGTGAGTTTGAGTTTTTAGTTTTGAGGAAGACAGGCTTTGAGCTTTGAGGAAGACAGGCTGGCGTGAGGAAGAGTGAGTTTGAGTTTTTAGTTTTGAGGAAGACAGGCTTTGAGCTTTGAGGAAGACAGGCTGGCGTGAGGAAGAGTGAGTTTGAGTTTTTAGTTTTGAGGAAGAGCGAATGCGCTGCGAAGAATATACCAGGTAAAATCGCTAACTGAGGCAGCGTGTTTCTAGTATTAATGAAACGCTGCCTCAGTCAGCGTTTTTAGGCCTGTTATAGCCTAAGTCAAAAACGCTGACTGAGGCAGCGTTTTTATGTATTTCCATTTTTTTTTAATTTGTATTTCACAAAATACGAAATTTTTTTTTTAAAAAAAATAATAGCAGGGGTAAAATGCTGACCGAGGCAGCGTTTTACCTCAGAAGCTCAATTTCGTAAATAGTTTGGCCACGCGTCTATATTCGTAAATAGTTTACTAATAAAGTTCAGTTCGTAAAAAATCCAGTTTAGGGACCATATTAATATACATCAAACTTGAAGAAAATAAAAAGGAGGATACAAACACTGAATGAGTTGGTGAGACTCAACTTTGAGTATTGAAATATAAAATGAGTTGTTTTATACCTCCAATAGTGATATATAACCTACTTCTCAATTTAGCAACTCATGTGAAATCTAATTTCCCAATAGTGAAACTCTCTAAAGTATACTAATATCACTTTCAATTTATGGCCCACCAAATCTATATTGTAAGTTTTTCAAAAAAAACTTAAAATAAGTTACAAAATATATTATAATATTGATAAGGTGCCCACACTTTTTGTCAAATGAGCCTTAAAGTTGGGTTACTTGGGTATCTAAACTTAGCAACTTTCTTTTAGAGTTGCTAAGTTTAGATACCAACTTATTGATATCATTTGCAAAAATTACTCTCTTTCCTAAAAAAACTCCCTCAAGTTTCACCATTGGAGATGGTCTAATGTCGAAGAGCCGAATTTTATAATGTGTAGTAATATTTCGAACATTTCAGGTGTCTTTTTATATTGGAAAAATTTACAGGAATAATCCCAACTTTTTCTCATTCCCATAATCCCAACTTTGGATTATTTTTTTAATGATCCCAACTTTAAGGTGAATTTTCTTCTAATGGTCCCAAGTGACCTATAACCGGTTAAATAGGTAATTTTTGTTTTTTTTTTAAAAAAAAAATCTTACATGTGTCACTACGTAATTGGTTAAAAACACTAATTAACACTTAAAAAAATTATTAGTTACTAATCAACACTTAATTAAGTAAATATAACTAATTATTTAAAACTAATAAAAAAACCACCACCACCAGCCACCCTCCCTGCCCCCACACGCCCAGCCCTCCGCCGCCGCCGCCATTCCCGGCAGCGACCAAACCCCTCTTGCGCCGAAAGTCGCCCAAAAAACCCATTGCGTTGCCCCTAAACCACCATAACTCCACCACGAAACCCCTCTCCCTTCCCCGAAAAATCCCTAAAAACCCCTCCTTCTACCGCTTAATTGCCTCCAACCGCCTTGCATCAACTTAATCGGAGTCTTTGGTGAATTGCTTGCTCGTTTTATTTCTCAGATCAGATTTTTTTTTTTTTTGAAGCAATCAAATCGGATGAGTTTTATTGGTGAATTGGGGGGTTCGTGGGGGGTGGGATGGGGTGGGGTGGGGGGATGGGAAGCGTCGGCAAGGGGAAGAGGATGGGTCTGGGGGCGGCGGCGCGCCGGAACCAGGGTAGGAGAGTTTGGCGGGGGTGGGGGAAGGGAGGTGGTTGGGCTGGTGGTTTTTTTGGTTGATTATTATTATTTTTAATTAATTTTAATTTTTTTTGGCCAATTACACGCTGACACATGTCAACCAATTTGTTATAATAAGGGGCCGTTTGGTTCGCAGGGGTTATCGGAATGGAATGAATAAAGGGAATGAAAGAGAAAGGAATGAAAATCCCTCAAATTTAGGGGCCGTTTGGTTCACCCGGGGTAAATGGAATGGAATGAACAAAGGGAATGGTAGAGAATGGAATGAAATCACCTAATATTCTCTATGTTGTTTGTTTTAAAAACAAAGGGAAACAATCCCATCAACCCACCACCACACAACCACCCCACAACCACCACACAACCACCCACGTTCCACCTTTTCTAGCCACCATCCGACCACCAAACCACCAGCCACACCTTCGCCGTCTTTCCCCTCACCGTCGCCTCCCATTCGCCGGCCTCCGCGCAACCGTTTCTTCCCTGGAGATCAACCCTGAAAAACCCTAGAAACTCCCCTCCCCCGAAAAACATCATTCACTCCCCGAAAAATCGTTCGTCTGACCTTCCCCCACCCTCGAAACCTTAGGCGACGCAGCGAGGGGAAGGGGAAGGGAGGCGCGGCCGGCTGTGAGGGGAGGGGAGGGGAAGGGAGGCGCGACTGGCGTGAGGGGAAGGGGAAGGGAGGCGCGGCTGGCCGTGGTGTGGTGGTGCGGGTTTCCGATAAGTTGAAAAGGTGGAAGGGTGGTGGTATGGTGGTGTAGTGGTGGCCAAGGAATGGGAATGGGAAAGTCTAGGGGGGGTGGGGAATGGAGTTGGAGGGATTTTGGGGAATGAAGAGGGGAAAGGGAATGAAAAATATGGTCTAACAAACAACAACAAAGGGAATGGGGGCAGTTGATTCCCATTCCCTTTGATGATTAACCCCAACCAAACAGCCCCTTAGTGTGTTGTTTGTTTTAAAAATCAAAGGGAATCACATCACCACCACTACACAAACCCCTCTTCCTTCACTATCTCACTTCTCCAGCCACCCCGCCCCTCGTCGCACTTGCCCCACCCCTCGCCGCACTTCCTCTCCTCTCAAACAGCTTTCCCCTCCCCCGAAAACTTTCCCCCACCCTGAAACTCCTTCATAATTTCAGATCTCATTCTCACTTTTGTTTTTCTCTCTCCTCCATTTTCATGGATTCTGAGGGTGATTTAGATCAATTGCTACTTCCACAGTCTGAAACTCCTACCCCAACGGATCAGAACCCGAAGATGAAGCGGTTAAAAAAGAACGATTCGACTGCGAATGATGTCACTGCCGGTTCCGCCCCGACTAATGAGATTGATGGGTTAGATACAGGGAATGATGAATTCGATCTTTTATTTGGTGATTCCGGTCAGTTTTCCGTGAAACGGGTTTTGGATTTTGACGACAGTTTTGATGGGTTGGTGGTTTTGGGTAGTTTCGGTGGTGGTTGGGTGGTTTTGGGTAGTTTCAGTGGTGGCTGGGTGGCGGCGTCAGTGTGTCGGCAATTTGTTGGTGGCTAGGCGATGGTTCTAGTGGTGGTTGGGCGGTGGTGTCGGTGGGAAGTTGGTGTTTCGAGGGTGGTCAAGGTAGTTAAAAGGTTGGTTAAGGTAGTTGGGTGAAAAGGAGTTTGGGGTTAGGTTGATTCCCTTGGGGAGGGGG